GTAGAAAAGAAAAGAGGGGAAAAACAAGGAGAGAAAGAGAAAGATGTCCGCCCTGCCGTGCGCCGTTGCGCTGTTCAAACTGAACTGCTGGGAGAACCTTGTGCGAGTTGCAGTAAACAAACGCCGTTTGTCCCCTTCTTTGTGTCGGTAATGACGGCTGCACTACGCCCGCGCGTTTTACGAGGAAAGTTCCGAGATGGTAATGAGTGAGTTTTTATCATATTCCCTTCACCAGATGAGCGGAGCGGTGCCTCCTCCCCTCCCCTCAGGCATCGTGCGTTCAGCAGAAAGACGGCGTTCAAAACAAAAGATACCTTGATTGATTGGCGTTTGTTTCACGGTAACCACCGATTACCACTTTTTCCGACGTCTCTGAAATGTTTTATAAATTGTCACGTTAGCAAATGTTCTACCTGCTCTTTTGTTCAAAGAGTATGTTATGCTCCCTCTGCAAATATCCTCAGTGACATCCTCTTTCTATTTTCTCGCGGGCCTCGCCATCCCAACCGCCGTGCCGTGTGCCCTCGCTGACAGTCGTGTCGGAGGGAGCCCTGCTCAGGGATTCACTCGCGGACGACCTCTCACCTCACCTCCGCCACGGTGGGCGCGAGGCGCGCGAGGTGCGCGGGCACAGCAGGGCCCGCCCGGCCGGCTCTCCCCGGCTCTCCCCGGCCATATTTCATAGAGACGCCTTGTCCGCCCTCCTGGGCGCTGCGCGAGGCGCTGCGTGCAGGCGACCGCAGCGACTGACATCACGCTCTCCGCGCGCATCCTACCCGCCCCCTTCCACTCCATACGGTCGCCCTGCCCGCGACCCGCCCAGAAACGCACAACTATCCTACCCGATCCTACCTCTAAACTGGCCTCGAGGTGTCTGCAGCGCGGAGAGGGAGGGGTGGGAGCTGCCGGCCCGCGGCGCACCCCGTCCGGCCCCGTCGTGCGACCCTCAAGGAGCCGAGGGTCTCGCCCCCGTCGTGCAGCCCGGGCCGGAGGGGCGTGGCGTCCTCGCCCTGACCCGCCTGTCGACTGACTTCCGCCGCGGAGCAGCTCTCCGCCGCGTCCTCACGGATGAGCGTTGCGTGTGCAAATGAGACCCTAACGCACCCAGCAGCGCCACGCCACGCCTCCTCCACCCTCCAGAGGGAGGACGACGACGGCGCATCGCGATGCGAGACGTGAGATCGGCGCGCCGCCCTCATCCTTCCTGCCACAGAAGAGCAAGAGCCTCTTCGCTGCCGCTGCTCCTTTTCCGCTCCGCGCCCGGCCCGTTTTACGCATCATTCTCATCGGAACCGTTTGTCTGGCGGATCTATGAGGAGGATGTCCTGCAAGGCCTCCACCAGGAGCTCGACGGTGAGGATGTAGGCGTTGTTTATCATTAAAGAAAGTACTAACCCTCCCGACGCAGAGGCCGCGGAGGATGAGGACCTTCAGCAGAACCTCTGTGCCAGAGGCAGAGGACACCGACGGACGGCGGAGATTCGCCCTCAGTAAATACTACGCGTGTCTGGGGCGGAGGTGGCTCACGTGTGGAGATGGCCGCCTGCGATGCGCACCTTATCGGCCAGGTGCAGCAGCAGCAGCAGCGGCAGCAGCAGCCCCCCTGAGGGGCGTGGGAACTGAAGCAGCCGCCCCGGGGCCGGGGGCCGGGCCGGTAGAGGCTGGCAGCTGCGGCCGCCCCACCACCCCGGGCCCCGGGCCCCGGGGAGGGGTTGGTCGAGGTGGAGGTGGCAGGGGAAGGAAAGGGGGGGGGGGCATCTCGGAGCCTACTCAAAGACCCTTCTCGCGCCCCGTCCTCCTCCCGTCCCCGAGCAGGCGACCTGCGGAAGTAAAGCCCGGATATGTATCACCTCCCGGGGTCGGGGGCGCCAGGACTTCCGCTCTCTCGCTCTCGCTCTCTCGCCCCCTCCCCTTCCTTCCGCCCCTATACCATCCACCACTCGCTTGCATCCGGATGCATGGTTGCATTCATCCCCGATCACTCTGGAGAGGAAGCACTTCGTCTCCCTCTCTTCCCCTCTCCTCTCTCGCTCTCTCCTCGGCGTGCTGCTCTGCTTTGTGGTCCGGAGGAGCGCTACAGCGGGGCGCTACATTCCCTCGCGACCGCACAATTTGACACCGCGGGCGTGAAGAGTGTGTTTCCGGCCGCTCCGGGCCGCTCCCACGCGAGGCCGCTGCCGGCCGCTGCCGGGCGCATGTGAGGCGTGCGTAGCGTACAGCGAGCCGGACCGATCGACCGACCGACGCGTATTTCATTTTATTGTTGTTATATTTTTGTAGCGAGATGATTGGTTCGATTGGTATTGATTGGACCGGCTTGGCGCTTCCAATAAGCCATTTGCTCATGCCCTGCCGTGTTCTACTCGGGAGCCCCGACAGCTTGGCGCAGCTCGGCTCGGCGCAGCAGCCCGGCGCAGCCCTCCTCCGTGTGCCGACTGACTTATTTTTACACGGCCGAAAACTTTTTCAACGGTCTTTTAATTTTTGGCGGTCGTTGGCTTTGGTTCGTGGTTTTCGGGATCTGCGGCCCCTACCACTGCTGGCAGTTGCGCGCTGCTTGCGCCTGGCAGAAAGTCTAGGAAGGCCCCATTTTCCCAACCGTCCGTAACGGCCCCTCTGAGGCAGCTGTGGGGTGGGGCCGAGCAGTGCCCCTGTAACTGCCCCGGGTGGGGGCGGGGAGGGGTGGGGCGGCCTGTGCGGTACTGCCCTGCTGCTGCTGCTGTTCGGCCGGGAGAGAAAAGAAATATCAGAAAAACAAAAACTCTAACCGACAGATTTGTGTTAACGCGACGTGAAAAAGGCAAGGGGCAGGCGCGTTAGGAATCTGCACTACGCCTCGGCGCCTCGCCAAACGGGGCGTTAAACAGCCACCCTCGGCCCGGCCTGGCCAGCGAAGGGCTTTGAAAAGAAAAGGGGGCTGCTTCTTTAACGACCGACTTTATGTTGCCTGCTTTTGTGCCTATAGGCACTCCGTATGCATGCGTGTGTGTGTGTGTGTGTAAGTATTTTTTAAGGGGAGAAAAATCAAGAATAGACGAAAACTGGCCCCTTCTCAGAGCACGTTCGCTTCCAGCACGCCTTTCCTTATCCAGCGCGTCTTCTCCGACCAGCTCCTCCACAGCCCGTTCCAGCCAGTCGGACGACATTTCGTTACCACGCAGCGGCTCCTGAAACCCGATAGCGCTGCACTCTTCCTCCCCCCGCCGCCCCCTCCCCCGTCTCCCTACCTGCACGGACGCCTCCCCCCTCCCCCTCCCCGTCTCTCAATCTTCTAACCGCTGACAGGATAGAGATGCGCGGCGTGGCTCGGCGTGGAGGAGCTCACGTGATGGAAGGCAGATTTACCAGCTAGACTGACCGGGGCCCCGCCCGGCCCTCATATTGGTTTTAGGCCCCGCCCCGCCCCGACCTGGGAGCAGTATTTTTTAGGCGCGGGTGCGGCTGCGGCTGCGGCTGCCGCACACACACGCACACTCTCCCTCCTATATCCCGTCCTCGGCGGTGCTATCGACACGGGAAGGAAATTGCTTCCGATGAGGAGGCGAGGCGTCAAAAGCAGCAGCAGCGGAGGAGGACGCGGGGATCATATCGATGGGGATCTGATTGACCAGGAAATGGGACTCCCACGCGACGAGCGGGGCGGGGTG